CAATCACGAGAAGATTCATATGCATTTGTATTTCTCAAAAATAAAATTTGTAACAATTTCTATATTTTAATACGCGAAATCCGTTATACAAATTTCTTAGCACGCCCTGTAGGACCTTCTTGTCATCTCATCTTTTGATCTCAAAATTCTCAATTTTCGACCACTACATCAACAATAGCAAGCAAACAAGCGAAGCAAACCATGAGTCATCTTGAAGACACACTTGTTGAATTGTTCCATGCAACCAGAACCCAAATAAGAAGTGTGAAAACTCAACTGGTCCCATCACTAAAGAAATTCTCCAACAAAGGCAGAATGAAAATTGATTCCACAAAGCCAAACTCTCGTTCAAAAGAAAAGACCAAGAGTTCAGCGAAAAGCTCTCGTTCGGGCTCCGTCTCCAGTGGCAACTCCTTGTCCGGCTCCCCTCATACCCCTTCTCTGCAAAGGTGGGAAGACTATAGTTCATCTGAAGANCTCCAGTGGCAGATCCTTGTCTGGATCATCTCATGTCACTTCTCTACAAAGGTGGGAGACGATACTTCATCTGAAAAATCACTTGAACCCGTGATGGTCACGGAAGTGACGTCGAGCTCAAAAGACCGGATCCAACAAATGGCTTTAGCCATTGAAAAGTTAACAGTCACTAGAAGAGAAAGACGTACAGGTTGCTGCACTCATGTACATGCTAGAGATTCAAAATTCATCAATTAAAGAAGATCAAGAAAATTTAGGATCTTCCAAAGCTAAAGATCTAGAAGTCCAAGAGCGCAAACAGAAACAAGATATGCATAATCGTACAGTTGTTTAAAAAGTTTTGCGTGATACCACTCAACTCTCTGTTGGCTTTCTATATGTCCACCAACTTCAACATATGATTGCCGACACCATTCGTGCCCAATATGGTGGTACATTGAAATACACTACGGCAACAGGAAATTAAATCTTACATCAGGAAAATATCATCACCAACACTAACTACATTACTTTTAACACTGTCCAACTGAAATACACTACTCAAAACAGGGTCAATTAATGAGCTCCACTATATAACATCCTTATGAGGCATTATGTCAAACACCTTTCTCAAAATGTAGAAATCCCTTCCCTGCAAATCAAAAATGCAATGTCAAAAGTTTGTAATTGAAACTGGGAACCAAAATGAACAGATAGAAAGAGTGTGCCAAAGAAGGTAATTTGTCACGCAAATCTTCTTCATTAATTGAAATGGCAGCACTTGGAAGGAATATACATACATACATACATACATACATACATACATATATACTAGGTGTAAGCAACATGCAATGCACGTTTGCTTAGTTTATATTTAATAATTTCGTTTAAGAATTAATTTGTTATTAATAAAGATGTAATTTTTTTAGTTAATTAAATAATTAATGATGTAATGTTTATGTAATTGATAAATAATTAGACGTTGTGATATATTAAAAAAGAGCATTAATCTATAGCATGGTCTTATAAATAAATATCGCAACATCTTCCTCACGCCACCTCCCATCTCTAAGAACTGTGAGCAGTTGACCCAAACAATCCCTGCCTGAAATGTCTTGGTCATTCGCTCACACCTTTCCAGATCTTGTGATAATACAGCAGCAGCCAAACCATATTGGGTGTCATTTGCTAGTTCAATGGCTTCATCTTCAGTTTTGAATGTTTTGACACAAAGAACTGGTCCAAATACTTCCTCTTTCCAGATTTGCATGGAGGTCTTTACATCTGTTATTATGGCCGGTTCGATGTAGTAGCCCTTCTTTAAATGTCGAGGGCGTTCACCCCCATACAAGATGGTGGCACCTTCATCCTTCGTTGTTGAGATGAACTTCATTACTTTCTCGTACTGTCCACTGCTTACCACAGGACCAAGCCTGCAACCTTCCACTAAGGGGTCTGAAATTTTGATGTTCTTTGCACCACTTTACAAGCTTGTCCAAGAATTCTGCTACAATGCTTTCGTGCACAAAAAGTCGAGAAGTGGCACTGCAAATCTGACCATTTGTCCAAAAGCAACCAAAAAGAGACCACTCAGCAGCTTTGTCTAGATCAACATCCTCTAATACAACAATTGGGCTTTTTCCAC